ACAATATGCTCTTTTTACGTATCAGTGTGGCATTTCCTCCTAAGAAAAGACTAGTTATGATAATTCAGCGCAAGGTGAAAACACTCACCTAGTAAGGCGATCAAGTTTCTGTATTGGGTTTGGGCATCTATAAACTACCACCGGCTTCCTGTACTAGCATGAATCTAAGACATACCATTGATTTATATCATTAGAACATCCCCAGTCTGTTATCTGCTCACTGCAGGGGCACCCACATCCATCCTTGTTCAGGTGGTGCATGAGTCAGATCAAGGCCAACAAAAACAGAGAGAAATATTCCCTTTTCCCAACCACATCCCCGCAGATTTGTGACAAGAAGCCAGCTGTGACCACAGCAAGGAAGGACAGAGAAATGCATCTGTTCTTACCTATCCAAATGCACGGTGACATTTTGGTACAAAACTCTGCAGGCAGCAAGGAGGATGTGGAATGGAAAAGTGTAAGGAGACTGCAGAGTGCACGAGCTCCTTCTTCAGAGAAGCAATTCAGACCATAGCTTCCCTCGAGGTGACATGTACCACATACAGAGCACAGAAGTCTCACAGGATGTTCTTCATCCATGTGCAGACCTCAGATCTCCTACACGAGGCCTTTTAACACTCAAAGACTGGTTAGGGTCTGTGCTGTTTTTTCTTGAGATCCGTCAGGAAGATCAGTGCACCTCAGCAATAAACCTGACTTCAAATAAAAACACATGATGAGGAGGAATGCTGACAATAAACTGCACAGAATTTATGTGACAAAACCAATATTGTGTTATGAAGGTAGGCACGTGAATTGTGAAGCAATAGATGTTCCACCTAACTACCATGTATTCAAAACAAAACAAACAAAAAAAACCCTAAAACCAGAAAATCCTCCTTCTCCAGAGGACGTTCAGTGCAGTTAAACTAGGCTCTTGTTCCAACGGCTCCAGAAAGAAGTTTCTATTTCTTCCTTTGTCAAATAAAACACTGATGAAAAAGAGGAAGACCAGCGTCGGGAAACTGAAGGCAGCCTCTATGATCTGAGACTTACTCTGGCACTGTCACATCCCAGTGCACAATTGCTTTATTGTTTCCCCCCTCTTACCCCATAGACATTAGTAGCACAGACATTATCTGTAGCAACACAGACACTACAGTGCAACAGTAGTAGGACAACACAGGTACAAATCAGTGGTGTATCACATCTAACCCTCCCCATAAAGCTTTCAAAAATAAATAATGCATCATAACCAAAAGAAAAAGATTGATAATTTTATTTGTACTTAGCACATACAGGAAAGATCAAAACAAATATTAAAAGACAGCATTTGTAAACAAATATACTTTACAAAAAGATATACACTATCAAATTTGCTCTGAAAAAAAATGCATGGTTATAGCTGTTTATAAATGTATATTTAATCAAAATCAAGTTTAAAAATTACTTCACTTTCAAATATCCCATATAACGATTTATTCATTCCTACAACTTCAGAGAGACCACAGACCTAAGGCCAAGTTAAACACGTGAGTGAAGATGGCACTGATTCCCAGTTAAAAAAAATAAATCTGCAAGTGATCAAAATGCCAGCCAGACTATTTAAAGAACTAGGTTTGTAAAATATATATTCAACTCTTCAAATGTCTACCTTAAAAAAATAGAGCTATTTTACTGGATCATCCTCCTCTTGTCCTGTGCAACCTACTGTAGGGAATCTGCTTTAGCAGAGGGCTGGACTAGATAGCCTCCAGAGGTCCCTTCCAATCCCTGCAATTCCATGATTCAGTATGATAAGCTGTGGTCTTGAATCCATGCACTGAAGAGCTATCAGTAGGTAGCTTTATGCAATTGTGTCGTTCATTTTTGTAGTCACATTAAAAATAACAAGGCAGGAGCACCCTTTTAGCAAGGATTCACTTTTAACATTCTTGCATGTATAGCAGCAGGTATGGTTTTGGGGGATGCTATTTATATAATCACTTAGTCAAAAAGTGAAAAGCATACTCTATAAACTTTATTATAGTGTTCTTTCCCAGTGTTCTTTGCTTCCAGAGTTAGGCAAGCACCTCTAATTCTGCTGTAGAATACAAAAATTAAAAGCAAAAGACACGCAAACCTATGACTACCTCAGCAGGCTCCCTTTGGTGGCGTGCCTTAAGTCATTTTAACTGCCAGGATGAAATCTGATTTCTTTTTTTTCTCCCTCCAGTCTCTTAATTGCACATCAACTAAAAGACAAAATTTCTCCAACTTCATCTATTAATTTGAGTCAAAAGAAACAAGATAATAAAAATCATTAAGGCTGTTCCTGGGACACTGAAAATTCTTACCAGCTTTCACAAAGGCTTTTTCAGGATTTTTTTCTTTTTACAAAGACATGGAAAATACTTTTCCCAAGAATGTCCATGAACTAAACAAGGATGGATGTACATAAAAAGATGTACGTAAAAAGACACACACTTCATGCACAATACACTTTGAACATACGTCAGACAGACAAGGACCATGGAATGCAATGATCATCTAAGATGGCAGGTGAAATGAAGATGACTTTTCAGAGAGTCGTCATGAGTTTATCTTGGTACACCATACTTTGGACTTCTCCTAAATTCTTCTGGTTCTGTTCTTGAATATATCGTAAATTGCTGTCCTCTCCACTTGTGGGGGGCTTCCAATATGGCCTGTCATCATGATAGGATGGCCTGTACCATTTGCACAGGTATTGGTTAGTGAGAGATGGAAGTAAACTTATGAGTGCTACACAGCAACATGAGTTCATCCAGCAAATGCTAAGCATGCATACATTGTGATGGACAGCTACCACAAAGAGAAGAAAATGATGACAGGTCTCATAAGAATCTACTGATGCAATTGGGAATCCTTAATTCACTTCAAAGGGCCTTGAATTAGAGCTAAGCCATTTAAAATCTCTGTTCTCAAGTGTTGTGCACCAATGATCATGAATCCCAGAGAGATGGTGGGGCCATAGGAAAACATACATGAGTACAACAAGCAAGTAAAATAAATCATGCAAAAAGTTGAACTCATGAAAAAAAATATCCCTAAGACTAAAAAAATTAAAAAAGACAACCCTATTAAGAATGAAAATTGCTCTTCCATAAATATTGCCACTCACTCACCTGGTGAGGCTGGTGCAGTTAGCTATACCAAAGCAGCCAGGACAATACAGTCCATTCTGTTAAGATGAATACCTAGAGCCTACAGGTAGTACAGATATTTCTGTAGGACTATGTGCTGTAACTTGCAAAAGTTTGAAAATAACTTTTTTCCTTGCTTGTTCATTACTTACTGTTACTTAGAGATATTAACAACCAATTCTACAGTCTCTCCTGAATGATTTTGAAAAACAAAACAAGACATTCTAAAATTCTAAAATCACAACTGTTAATTGGAATAAATTTTCTCACAGGATGGAACATTTTGTTAAATGCACATTTCATTTAAAGGACTTTACTATGAAAACAGAGAAAATTCCACATATTACTTACCAAATATTTTCTAGAAATACTTGTAAAAAATTTTAGATAATAATAACTATAAAGAAATATATAAAAACAGTATTGCATGTTTAGTTTCACTTCAAATTATAGCCCATTTTGGACATACATGGCCAATAGAAAAAAATCTCATGCATCTGTGTTTTGATCTCAGATTCACAGTCAAATGAATTGAATGTTCTCAAATAAGGCTAACCAAGATGTTAAATGTCCAGCTCCACTACTTTGACACTACATTAAAATAACACGTAGCTTCCACTTTAACTACACATTTAAACATTTGTACTAAATTGGAAGAAAAATTCTAAGCACCTTTTCTAATGAGTTTACAGAACAGCATTTAAGTGTCCTTTTGGAATTGCAAGCCTAGATATAAAAATGTCATTGTTCATATTTCACTGGCCTTAATCTTTACCCGGGCAGCAGAGGTTGTGGAGGGGGGGAGATTGTCTACACACTTTATAGTACATTATGGTGCTTATTTCAATATTGCTCTGCTCCAAGATTAACTATTTGGCTTTAAAATGCATGCATGCAAAACCTCAAATGACTTATAAAATTACTAACTTCTATCAATACTTCCTCGAGTAATGTAAAATTGGATATTGGATATTTAAAATCACAAACAAAAGTCTGGACATGAAAACCCTAAAGCCAGGAAGGATCTTGAACACAAAGTACAGGCAGAGTTAATTATTCAATTTAAACAGTCTTCTGTTTCTGGCATAATTTTCATGTCTGCTTTACTGTTTTATACCAGGAATTCTGAGATGACAATGAGCAAGCCTGCTTCTCTGCCTAGTTCTCTTGCCTTTTTCCTACATTCTCAGATTCAAACTCAAGCTAAATTGTCTTTTCATCCATTTTAAGCTCATCGTTTCCAGAGCCCACCCACACCAAGAACAAAGTCTAGCTATCTGATGTAAGCATACAGAAATTAAAAGGTAAAATCAACAGGAGTAAAGATAAGGGTGTTGGTATTTTTCGGTCAAGATGGTAAGTATTTGCCAAAAAAATCCTGAGCGGCCTAGAAAGGTTATTCTTTAGTTATTCTTTATTAGGACAAAATAGCAGCTAATTTTTAACACGTGTATGTGCACAGACACATATCCACCATCAGGTGTGTGCCTCCAAATGTGCATTCAAAAGATGGTTCAAGCCTAGATGGAATTTCTTCCAAAATTTATTTTCACTTCATTTCTCCCATTAGTAGTTCACCACAAAGTAGCACAACAGGAATATCTTTGTTCTAAAGTTCTAAAATAATTGCACTAATATCAGTAGAGAGTCTGATATTATTCCACGTACACATTATTTTTCCATGTATATTTCAGCAAAAAATGAAAAAAGTTCTGTAATGCAAGAAGCTGTTCACTCATTTATATTTCTAATTCCTATTTGCTTTTCACATGCAAAAAATCACCTGATATGTCCACAAAAGCTTCATACTGACAGATTAAGAAAGAAGTATTCTCATCCATTGAGGTTGCTTACCTTACATTCACAGGTGTATGTGGGTGCCAGTGTGGCTGAGCAGGATGTATATTAGGATGATACTGTGGCTGCAAGTGAAAACATTAAACCTGGTTAATAAAATCATATAAAAACCCCATGATAATTTCAACTTCCTATTTTTTCCAGAGCCATGAGGAACATGCTAGCTGTGAGCCCTAAAAAATCCACTCTTTCAGACCTTCTTCCATGCCATTTAGCGCACGTACAAGACCTCTTAATGATAAGCTTGCTTATTAGGACATACTCATGGACAAATGCAAAGAAAATTGGTTTTCTGTTTGAGCGACAACCTGGCACATCCAGTGCTTCTCATAGAAAACACATCAGTATGCTCAGCTTTAATCAAAGGTGGAGAGTGAGAAAGGTTATTACAGTGGATGCCTTCAGAAGGTCACCTATCATTGGTGACAGCATTTCTCTCTCATCCCACAAAGTCTTAAAGAAAAACAATGAAATAAAATCATTGGTGAGGCTTTTAATAAAAACAAGCATTCCATTCTCATGCACACACTCAGTTTGAATGAAAGCATGGCTTGCTTTCTCAGTACTACAGATTGCCATCGCAGATGAAAACTGGGTGAGGTTTTTCCATCAAAGCTTATAAAGGAGGTTGTTTAAAAAAATACAAAAGAACAATCAACAACAATAAAACACCACCACAAACATCAGACCAGCAATGAACTCATTGAGTGTTGTTATGGGGGAGATAATCACAACTTTGAACTTGTGAGAACTCCTCCAGTGTCAGATGCTGTTCTCACAAAAGTGCTTCTCACAAAGCAGTCTCCAAGAGTGCATCATACACACAGTCCCATAGTCTTTAACCCATGATCTCACAGGAAGGAAAGCAAAAGAGGATGGCAAATTGAGTATATTCAGCTTGCAGAGTATCCAAGAAGACAAGGAAAGCAAGATAGAAAAATCCCTTCATTTTATCCAGAACTCCCAATCTAATGCTGCAAATTTATGAACCCACTCCAGTGGAAGGAAAAGTAGAAAAGCAACTGTTGTAATTATAGACCAGAAGAATTATTTGCCACTAAGTAAGAGCACTTTAAAAGTAAATACTTTTCTCAACAATATTTATGCTTACCTGGTAGTTGTGGACTTCAGGAGTATTTTTAGCACTGAAGGAGAAGGAAAAAAAAAAGCTTTTATGTAATAAATAAAAAACCCAAAGGTACACAGAAAAACTCATTTTCTTAAAACACTGTAGGCCTCATTCTATAAGTGTCCAATGGAAGATCTGTTCCTGTTAGAATCCTACTAAGTCTACTTAAGAGCAGTCAGTTACAAAAGTAAGGATTCTGAGCAACTGAGGAATCATTATTCTTATTTGTGTTTCACTCAGTTGCACAACCAAAACAGTTTACTTGCACTAACAAGTTACTACTTTTTATAAAAATATCCACATAGCAATTTCCTATAGCTCTGGGCTCTACTCTTCAAGGAAGTATTACAGTGAAGTAAAATTAGGACATCATAGTTTATTCAAGATATAAACCACAGCAACAGGAACAAATAATGCTAGATGAATTAGAATAACAGCAATGAGCAGAAAGGAAATATGCTTTACTTTAATCTGATCTCAAACAGAAACACCTTAAAAAATGAAAGCACAAAGTCTCACAGTCTGTCCCCAAGGAGAATCTGGTGCGGCATAATGACAGATTCCCAAGCAATTTGTCCTACACCAGAGAATGACTGTCAACAAATCCTGGCACAGAACTGTTTTTCAGGATCCCCTGACTTACAACAGTTACTGATAGGTAGAGAGAACTTGAAGAATCACTTACCACAGTTGTGCTGCTTTCACAGGATTGTTTGCTTAAAAAAAAAAAAAACAAACCCATAAGATATGTGAAACATCAGTCATTTTACAGTTATCATCATTGGGCTGTTATACCACAGCTAAAGTGAATTCTTCTACAGACATCTGTACAAACGTGTCAGAATCCAAGCACAGTCCTGCACCTTCCAGCAATCCCATCAGTTCATAAAGTATAAGGCAGACACAGATTGCCCTTTGTTTCTGCAAGAGTCAAGATCCATCAGAGATGACTGCAGAAGACTATTCCTCCCCAGCAGCCAGAAGGAAGGACTTCAGGCAGAGTGAGTTCGGCACAACCAGATCACCAGTTCTCTCCATTTACTATAGCTACTACGTCAGTAACATTGAGTCCTTTGGAAATCAAAAGCTACTTCCCATATAGATTTTGCATCTCAGAGTTCAAAGTACTCTCGTAGTTGGTAACAAACTGTGTGTTACAAACAAAACATAAGCTACCAGCTAGGAATATGGGGAAACATCGATCAATCTTCAGGAACAAAATCTTGGACTGTGCTTTGGACAGGCTACACAAATGGTGAAGAAGCCAATAGAATAGCTGGGATGTATTATTTGTATTATTTCTTTTTTCTGACACACCATATTTTCAGAAAGAGCAACAAAAAACTGCTAATTGAAATAACTGAAAATCCATGACAGTGCTGAATGCAGAAAGTGGACTACAGACTTAATCAGACACTGTAAAAGTACAGAGTGACTGAGCTAGGACAGAATCCAATGCTTGTGGGGTACGGCTAGGAAAAGAGATGTGTGACAAAATAACCTAAAATGAGTTTTTGCATGAACTTAAACATTCTGTCAGCATCTCAGGATGGAGATCATCTGGGTATGGCAGAAGTTCTGCCCAGCTGCTATGCACAGAGGACTAGAACGATCATAAGCCACACTCTCTCTTCATCCCCCCTCACAGACATAAGCCACTGTATGGAAACACCGCAACGCAAGGTCTGACAGATCCCACTGTTACAAAATGTTTAAAATAATCTTACCTTCCACTTAAGAAACCATCCATACTTATCATACAAACATAAGTATTATTTGATACATGAGAGTAAATATCTCATAAATACAGTGTATGTCTGTAAAAGAGAGATTAAAGAAGGGAGGCGGGGGCTTACAGCTTCTAGAGAGCATGCCTACTTGCTGTCCTTTTCCCCCCTTTGTACTTGAGAAGGTAGAAAAAGAAGTGCCCCTTTAATACCACAAAGACTTTTAATGGACCTGAGGTTAATGTTCCAGGCACACATGGCAATCCAGAGACATCCTAAGGGAATATTAGTTCATTCTGTTCCAGACAGCAACTACTGCATGAACAGTTCAGTGACCAACATACACTTGCCTTTAAACGTCGAATGCCTTCGAGAAGGATATCGTTTGCTGGGCCGTCTTTCAAACGTACTCGTTCTGCGTAATCTTGTCCCATGTGTTGCTTGATACTCTGTCCGTCCACTTAAAATACAAAAATAAAATTAACCGCTGTCTTCTGCTGAATGCTGTATCTCCTCCTCTGTAAAACTAATATCTTGCTGTTACTTCACTAAATACCTGAATCTGAAGCGTGATCCCAGCCTTATGAAGTCAGATCTACTAGATTTACTGTTTGCTGGGGCTCGCAGTCTGAAGAAAGCATGATGCTCCACTGCACATTTCCACAAATGTTTGCACGTTTTGGCACTGTCTAACCGGAAAACAAATGTGTGCTCTTGCTCTCTGCCCTAAATGCAGAAACAAAAGCTTTGGAAGTTGGCATGCATGATATTAGTTACTGTCCATGGCAAAAAATACAGCCCAATCCAACACTGTGCTGAGCCTCTCATGCTCTTATCAGTCAAAACACACTCTGCACATTGTTGGACCAGGCCAAAGAAAGGGCAGAAAGTTACCTGTTCATCATCTTCCACGACCACTAGTGTTAGTTTGCTCTTTTTAAAGTCCATTTTTGTGATTTTAGGCCTAAACATATAGGAAGCAAACAGAGAATTAATGGAAAAACTGCATTTTGTACGTTAGGACGATTCCCCAAAATATATCAGGGATTTGCAATCCCAGAACACTTCAGAATTTATACTTTTATTATGATTTTATTATGAATCCCTGGAAATGTAGCAATATTTCAATAAATATTTCTTTTTTTTATATTATTATTTTTATTTATTTATTTATTTATTTATTTTTACCACATTTGCCAGTGGTACTTCCAACCAAGCCATTTTACCTTTGGATCTATTTTAAACTGGTAGATTCAATCTGCATTACAAAACACAGGAAAGCAGAAAGATTTCAGCATTTTAACAAAAGAAATATATGTGTATATATATATAAAAGAAAAGCAGATTACCAAAAGAATAAGCCTATTTTATTTGCTCCTTCAAAGATCAATATGCCCGTTGGTGTCAGTCCAAGAGCATATTCACAACCATCTCTTCCCTACAAGCAAGCACAGAATCAATAATCAATATGCAATTAGTAGTATAAATCTTATACACACTGTATCAAAACCCATTGGTTTTAATCTATACAATAAGGTTTGCATCTGTTATCACTACAGAGGAGAAGAATATGCATCTGTAGTGGATGTAAATCAAAGGGTTTTGGTAGCTGAGGGTTGCAGAGCACCCTTTGTGGGAGGAGGCCATATGCTGTCTCAGGCAGCTTTGATACCAGAGGAGCTCAAACATGACACCTAAGTAGCTTTTAAATGCACTTGTTTAAGAGCAAGCAATAGCTGCCAGGAGAAGTAGACACAAAAGAAAAAAAAAAATCATGGACATTGGATAAGTCATGTGGAAAGAGACTTGGCTCAAAATGCACTCTTTGGAAGAGCATGACCACACAGGAGGAGGAACTTCTGACAGATCATGGCCTCTGGACATCTCTTAGCAAGACAGGGACAACTCCAAGGGACTGTGGCAACACAAGGGCAAGGACAACCTTGAGGCACTATGGCCTATGGATGCTCCACACTGGACGAGGGACAGCCCTGATGGGCTGCAGCTCACAGAGAACGCATCCCAGGATAGAGTCGCACACAGTCACAGAATTAGGGGTTGGAAGGGATGCCTGGAGATCATCTAGTCCAATCCCGCCCAAAGGATGGCCATTAAGGGAATGTAAGCCTGTGGGCAACCCTCACAGCAGAAAATGAGCAGTAACAAGCACACATCAGTAGTGGAGAATGAGGAAGAAGCAGGAAGCGGCATAAAGAAACTGTTATGCAGATGATCCCAACCTTGTGACCTGAACTGGGAGGGACTGAGTATAACCTGCAGGGAAAACAAGGGGAGTTGACACTATGAAGAGAAGATATGCTAGACTGAAGGACATGTTAGCCTAGGGAATAGGGAGGGAAGATGATCGTGTTTCTATCAATGCTTGTTTTATTGTCTTTTTTTCTCCTCAGTAACCAAACTGGTAATTAAAAGTTTGTGTTAATTGGCAGTATATTAAGTTACATTCCCAGAGTTTACTATGTTTTGCCTGAGACAGCACCTCCCTTTAATTTTCTGACCCCATCTTAATAAAACAAAGTACAACATGTACCTTACCTTAACTACATGCATATCTACACCGTACATTTCTAGCCACTTGGCTTTGTTCAAGTAGCACAGTTCAGCCTGTGCTGGACTCTTTCCCCTAAGAACATAAAAATTATTTTAGATTACAGTACAAATTTTTTTCCTGTTTTAGAAATTAATTTATTTTCCCTACCCCCTTGTCTTTGAACACTCAATCTTACTGACGTTAAAGGAATTTCAAAGTTGGCTTATGCTTTTACCCTATTCCCTCTAAATGAAAATTAATCAGAGTGATAAAAACTTAGAAAGGTTTTCAGTTGCCAATAAGCATGAGAATTTAGCTAAGGTTTACCAAGATGTACTGTATTTATTAAAAAAAAAGAAAAAGCTTTTACAACTACCCTGAACACAAAACTTTGAGAGTGCATGCATGAAATAGAATTTTTTCTGACAGTACCAAACTAAAACAAACAAACAAAAAAGCAAAAAAACAGAATCAGACAACATAACCTGTTACAGAACAATGAAAAGACAAAAAAAAACCCTAACTCCACCAACCTTCTATAAGCTAAATCTATTTCTTTCTGAGGATGGGGAAGAGGTTTCTGTCTAGCATACAATTTCAATTCTCAAGCACAGTTGCTACTTTATGTTTGGTAAGGGGGCACTTAGTGACATAGTTGACTTTGGAAGAAAGGAAAACCACCTATTGCTAGATGCCACTCCCACACAAGTACCCTACCTGCACTCTTTCCATTTCTGAAAGATGTCGAATTCCATTGCTTCAGTCTGGTTTGGTGCAAACCGGAATTCAGACACAAGTTCTGGTGTGTGCTCTGGGTGTTCGCACTCTCCCAGTTCAGCTGAAATTAATAATTTGGAAAGTTAAAAACAAAGATCACCATACTCTGTACAAGAATACGCTTCTGCTGATGTTGTAAATTAAAAACAAACAAAAAACCATCTCAAAATCAAAACACTTTCTAACATTTAAGAACTGCAGCCTCTTCTCTGGATTTTGAAGTACTTAAAGGAAATTAAGTTTCTCTTAAAATCAAAATATCAATACACTACTATTTCAGAGGAAGTTACTTTGAAGTCTTCTCTCACTGTAATAAGGTCATACTTTTCATTCCAAGACATTCTGTAGCTTGCTTTGTTACATTACTGTAGGAATCCAAACGGTAAGATAATATCTAGTCTCAAGAAATCAGTGATAAAACTTTTGTCTGTTTGCTTTAAATCATCATGATGGTGTAATATTCAAATCAAGCTATTTTTAAGGAAAGAAACAGTGAAGCCTCAACAGAACTGAAGTGTCACCTCCTGTTACCATATTTAGGAACTGCTACAATTTTTTCTAGGAGCTGCACACTTGTAAAATCTACCAAGCTAAGCAGAAGATGCAAGTGCTGACTAAGTTTTGCTCCTAGAACCTGTAAGGTACGTAAAGAGGCTGTAATATCACTGCTTCAGGTCTGAGACACAAACATCAACAGCAAATGCATTTTTCAGCATGGAATCACAGAATCACAAAATGGCCCAGGTTGGAAGGGACTTCAAGGACCACGAACCTCCAACCCCCTGCCACATGCAGGGCCACCAACCTCCACATTTAATGCTAGACCAGGCTGCCCAGGGACCCATCCAATCTGGCCTTGAACACCTCCAGGGATGGGGCATCCACAACCTCTCTGGGCAGCCTGTTCCAGCACCTCACCACTCTCATACTAAAGAACTTCCCCCTGACATCCAACCTAAATCTTCTCTCTTTCAACTTGAAACCATTTCCCCTTGTCCTGACATTATCTACCCTTTCAAAGAGTTGACTCCCTACCTTTTTATGGGCTCCCTGTAAGTACTGTAAGGCTGCAATGAGGTCACCCCACAGCCTTCTATTTTCCAGGCTGAACAAGCCCAGCTCTCTCAGCCTGTAAATACCGTGTCACCTGACATATGTTGTGAGTCCAAACCAGTGCTTTAGAAGTCTTGTCTCTCTACTGTTACTACTACAAGGGAAAAGATAGTGGAAAATGAAAGCCTTTGAAGGAAACAGTTTTGTTGCTTCAGGGCAGTTTTACACATAACTGCTGTAAAAATTCATAATCAAGATTCATAAATCATTAATTCACTCTCAGTCTTCAAAGATGCCAAGCAGGTTATATTAAAACATAATAAGTTACTTTCAAAATGCAATCTGTTAACCACTGTCTTGCAGATTTTTTTTTTTAATTTTTTTTATGTTGTCTTCAACAGTATTCTTCTATGGTTAGCTACAATATTCATAGCCGTACATCTTTAACAGAGATACCTCTGTTCTGCTGCTGTTTTATTTAAGTTGGGAGCCTATTTAACAGTTGTTGCTAAGAAATACTGGTAGTCCAGTCTCCAGAATATAAGAGGGGAACTACAATAAACACATCAGTAAGGAGGACTTTGGGGGAAAAAACAAACAAGCAAACAAAATAACAAAAACTAGCTAGCAAAAGCCTGTCTGGCTCTGGAGGTCCTGGTGGATGATAAATTCAATGAGAGAACAGTATGCTGATATAGTAAACGAAGTCAACAAGATTTTGGGTTGCATCAGCAAAAGGCATCACCAGCAGAGATAAGGGAGTGATTACCAAGCTCTACTCGACATTTATCAGGCCACACCTAGAACACTGTGCTCTATTTTTGTCCCCACTATACAAAAAAAGATATGGACAAACTGGAGAAGATCCAAAGAACAACAACTAAGATGATCAAACAACTGGAAAGCCTACCATATGAGCAAAGACTTGGGATGACTGAGGTTCTTTCAATTTTAAATTGAAAACTGGAGGTCTGAGAAAATATTCTCCTTGGAGTTTATTTAGTACTTTCTAAAGTAGATGTGGTTAAATACAAAAACCATTAATGACTAATGAGATAGATAGAAACTTATTCTACCAATGATGATTCAAGTTTCTTTGATTATAATTGTTATGTGGATAACCATATATAGCCCTGGAATGGGCTGCCCAGCTGCCCAGGGAGGTCGTGGAGTCACCGACCGTGGAGGTGTTCAAGGAACATTTGGATTTTGTGTAGAGGGACATGGTTTAGTGAGAACTATTGGTGATAGGTGGATGGTTGGACTGGATGATCTTGAAGGTCTTTTCCAACCTTGGTGATTCCGTGATTAAGTGAAGCGTGTGAGTATGAATCTGTTTTACAAATTATGCCATATTGCAAACTGACACTGTCTTTTAGAGAATTCCTTCACAGGACAGGCAATAAAACAATTTATGTTTGAAAGATGGTTCATACAAAACAGCAACCTATGAAGCTGTTGGGTGAGACAAAGAAAGAACTAACGTAACAGAACGATCTCCTCTATGAAGAACATAATGAAGTTCAAAGCTGTCCCATAAAGAGAAAAAGCCTTTCTTTCAGAGAGTTTAGGGCTCCTATTTCTAAAGAGCTTTTTAGCTTTTTCCTCAATTTAAGGAAAGCCACACTAAGGAGATTATCAGATTTTTTTATGCTAAGGGTAACCTAAGAGGACAGAATAATCACTTGACATTTCTTTAAGCTATTCTGCTTAATTAAAAGCTTCCAATATCGATTAAAATGTAATAAAGGTTACACAGAAATATTAATTATAGCATATGCCAGCAGAGAAAATAAATTTGTTGCAATAGCTGAAATATTTTTGGAGAAATGTATTGCAATGACGTTGAAATAATGGAAAACAAACAGTAGAAAAGTATAAAAGCATCAACAAAATTTAGGTATGTTCCCACAAACAATGTCAAGAAGTATTAGTTTTGATGCCTAATTAAAGACATTACAAATACTTATATTCCACAAATGGATAATTAATGGCTCTTTATTACATTTACATAGTAATCACAGGTGTTAATTACTATCCAAAATGTTGAGGCATGAAGCTATTTATTCTTTGCTTGGTTCTCCTTGCTTAGACCAGGGGTGAGGTTACCATTGTTTTCATCCGTGAAAATGGAAGCAGTGAATCAAATATGGGCTGCCAGATTTTCTCCATCTTAAAAACGCACACAGTTTGCCTGCAGTAGTTTTTTGCGCAACTAACAATCAGAGCTGTCCCGGACAGTTGCAAATGGAAACCAACACATAAGCCACTGGAGTAAGATTTACATCTGTTGCTGACTGGAAATGAATTCCCATTTTTAACTGTTGAGTCCGTCTAGAACCAGTGAGTTATCTTCATTGCTGTATGAAACTAAGAGGCTCTGCCTCAGAACTTCATATGTCATTGCCAGCCACCAGCAGAACAAGAACAGTATTTTTCACTCCAATTCATTTTGCTGCTTATAAGCCTAGAACGATCCAGATTACAACACTTTATTTTAGAAAAAAATGAATTCTGAGCTTCATTATGCAAGTTTCCTCTCTATCTGCATAACAGATAACCAGAAATACAGTATTTGTAAAAATATGTTTCACTATTGTAGGAAAAAAATCTTGTACTCCTTGCTTCTGCCACAGAAGTAATTTTAGTTCTTACCCTTCCATAATACTCTCTCTCCTTCAGTATGTGCCATTCCCTCCCTTGTGCTATAACCTTCTCCTGTTCCACATACCGCAGAGGACTTCTCTTAAGTACTGGTCAGGCAATAGGAAGCCCATGTTCAAGTCTAGACCCGCAAGGACCAACATGCCATAAAGTGTATGCTGACAGGCCGCTTCTCTTCAGGCTGAACAGGTAACAACACTGTGCACGCATCACACCTTCTCCACCACTAGGAAACTATTTGAGTTTCTAATTCCCTGCTCACCAAGTTTCCATGAAATCTTTGCTCATGCCTTTGAGGCTATTTCCCCAAGACGTGCCAACCTGGGCTAATAGAGCTCAGAAGTTAGGAACTGAAAGAATGCACGAAAGAGATCCCCCTGAAATTCTTCTCCTCAAGTAAAGGAATGCCATCAAAATATTGTCAATGAAAACTCATTAGTAACGAAGACTGAAAAGAAAACCAGCAAGTGAATGTTTTAAAATACGTTAAGACAAATCACTTAGAAAAAGCTGCATACCTTGAAGACACAGAGCTGCTAGTTCAACAGCCGTTTCATAAGGGCATTTCAGTCTTAAAAACAAAAGAAACAAAAAAAAAAACAAGCTATAAAAATGTATTTTTGTTCTCCATGACTTCTTGCTACAAAAAGGTACTCAGAGATGAATTGAACACATTAACTTTCACTAGATCACTTAAACCACAGACTACTAGTGATATAAATAATCTAAGATTAATTTTACTTGCATGTGATTATTCTCTCATTTAGTATATTCTCAATAGGATGAAACATTATATGATCAATCATAAAGCAAGCCTGAACTAATAAAAGGCAACCATGCTGTTTTTATTATTTTTTAATTAGAAACAACATAGATCAGATATGAATTTATTGGCCAGGGTGAGACTGTAAGCATACAAAAAATTTTTTGAAGACTTCTCTTGCACAAGGAGTGTTGCACTTCATCTTTTCTTCCTCTTGTTACCTGTCAGACTGAAAAATATGGCAAGCTAAAGACACAGAAGTCAGGACAGGCTTTGTCCCCTTCATATATTTGTCAGCTGGTCAATCCCTGAAAGGTTTTTACTCATTTTATTTTTTAGTAATATAGTCATAATGCGCATATCATATGTTTCTGTATTCTAAAGGAGGAAAGGCATATGGAACTCACACCTTGTTTACAACCCTGTGCAAGAATACTACGAAGAACAAGAAAGATCAAACAGTTAAAGAAAAAATTCAAATCACCAAGAGATTAACTAAAGGATCACTAATATATAAATATTTCAAATTACAGCTGCAAGAGCAGAGAGGTACTTACTTCCCTGAAAGAATGTCTTGTCGGAGCTGTAATACAAACAGGTACCTGACAAATAAAAACACAGAAAGTCAAAAGTAAAATCCTAGTGCAGTCTTCCCAGCACCAAAAGTCAGGAAAAATATCCCAACTCACTAAATAGTCATGACACTTTCATTTACTTTCTCTTAAGTGAAAAGGGTCTTTGGGGTCGCTTAGACATACATACCTTACCACCTTCAAAGTTCCCCTAACTTTCACCATAATCAGAAAGGAGGGACCATTCTTTACCTACTGCTTGCACCCAGTACACTGTTCGAGGCAACTCTGTTTCGGTAGCAATGAAACACTCTGCCCCACTCTGAGCACACAACAGGGCTATCTAAGACACACTGACATTTTTCTGAACTAGGTCTTGCCCAATTCAGGCAAACTCTAAACTATGGGACACAAACAAAGGCGAGACTTTCAGGGCTACTTCCTCAGTAAGAGATACAGAACATGGAAGAAGTTCAAGCAGAGCAAAAGGAAAAGTTCAGATTGAACTTTCACTTTAAATACTAGAAAAGTTCTGAATAAGAGAAAAGTGAATTCCACAGAGCCCAAGCATTTCTTTATATTATAAGTAGGTATTTACAGCCTGCGAACAGCAGTATTTTAAGCGCCTGTTAATCTTCAGCTCTAGGTGTGCTTCATGTTTCACAGCCACTCAGAGCTTAGGTGTGAGGCATGCAGAAGTGCTTCAGGCCATGCAAGAACTCTGTACAGGACAGGATGGCACAAGCAGGCTCTGCACTGCACTGGAAACTGAGAGGTGGAGCTTGCCATGATGAGTGAATCAAGAGAAGAGAGCTCGAAGCACTGCTGACAGTCAACCAAGCAGGTGCAAACCTATCTTCACAAAAGATGCTAGAAAGACAATGTGCTTTGCATCACAGGAGACGTGCTGTGAACATGACGAAGAACGCGTAGCTGGAATCAGGAAGGACAATAAAACTGAAAAGTAAGATTAAAAATACTTCTTGATGTAAAGTGAGATTAATCCACATTAGTTCCATGTCATATCTCTAATTCACATACTTGGCTAATATCTGACTTGCCAATCAAATCTGGATATGTGAACACAGATTAAAGACAGACAAGTATATTTCCTGCTCTTATTTTTTTCCCTGATGATTCGCAATCCTGTGAACTCCTCTAATTTTGCAATAAGAATCTGAGCAGTAGTTCTCTCAATGCCAACTTGCCTATACAGTGCTGCAGCTCTGCACTGCTGGGGATGGCTTACTTTTGCTTCTTCTCTGCATGCCAACGGACAAGCATTTGCATTTCAATTACTGATATTCCAAATCAGCAAAATACCTTAAAAATTCTCCACAAAACACATGTACAGACACGTTCCTCTGTTGTTTTCTACTTTAACTTAATCAAGGTCCCATAAAAGTTACAGTAGATGTCTTCCAAGATGCACTGGGCTTCAGTTGTGTTTTCAAATCAGAAAAAGACAGAGTGGGTGAAGGGTTTCAACACTTCTCCATTACTGTGCTATTTATGAGAATGTGATGTTTACAGCTTCACTAGGAACTGGAGCCTGTCGAAAAACCAGTCTGCACAAGGAATCTCCAACAACTCCTCTCCCTCCCCAACCAGGCCATTTCATGATTACTGGTAATGAACATTTTTCCTCTTCCTCTTCCTCTGGCTTGGAATAATTCTGAGTATACAATTGTTAATCTCCACTTTTTACTCCACATAATACATGGAAAATATGATCCAACCAACATAAAGATTCTTAAAAAAAAATAATAATAATTAAGAAAACCAGCAACCAAAATTACTTTTTCCCCCAATATAAATGAACGATAAAATCAATTTTCAACTCATTTTCATTTTTCTTCCACAGTTTCGCTATGGTTTTCTGTCAATTTATAATTAAAAAAAATAATCATAGCACTGAAAATTTAACTAATTGAAGTGCTGGTCTAATTAAAACAGTCTTCAGAAATGCTACAACTTTCAGCAATAATTAGATCACAGAGCAGCAGAGGTTAATACTTGCAGAGGAAATGTCTTACTTGATCACAGAAGTGATCACATAGCTCCGAAACCCACATCTCACAGTGACTAGGATCATATGCTTCAGAGGATTATGAAAGAAATCTTGTGGCAGACAGTAATGGGATAATTTGACCACAGGGGAAATTTAATACTTGTCAGATGTACCCTGATATATGAAGACATATCAATTGTCAGAAAATACATATTATTCCTACTAATTTAACTGCATTTTCTCATTAGAGAGGCCCAAAAGTCATCTTGGTTTTTGAACAAAGATCTTATACTCAATTATGTAACTGGCAGGGAGTAATATGAGTTAATTATGTAACGTATATGAATACGCCCTTCTATTGGATTAACACTGCTGTACTAAATTGATAATGGATATTAAGGCTTCCATTGCAGTCCCATAATAAGGTGGTGATGATTAGCTCTTTGATCTTCTTGTCTGAGACTGTGGAAAAAAAATGGTTGACAGAGCAGACAGGACAGGAGACAGTAGATGTAGGCCTGTACACCTGAGTTTCACGTAAACATCACATGAACTAAACAATCAACAATCTTTAAACATCTTAGTCTAATTAGAAAGATGGCGATTTTTGCAAGAAAAGTAGAAGCTAAAGAAAGTGCCCCCAGTGTGAGAAAAAGAAATAAAGATTATAAAGGAACGTTAAGAAAGATGATTACCATACAAAGAAGACATAAAGAAATCAGCTACAAAAGCCTCTCCTCCAGTTGTGCCTTTCCCAATTTTCAGAGTATCCTCTAGATCACCCCAGAATGCTATGAACCAAGCAAGGGCTAACTCTCATGGCCCAGAAAACAGCCCATCAGATCAAAACAAAAGATTGCCACCTATTTTAAGAAATTTTTACACAATGTAGACTTTATATACCTCCTGCAAGAGAAGAGAATTTGTGGGAAAGTGAAAGAGATTCAACCAGCCAACTGAAGCCATCTATTTCACTTTTCTTTACTAACTTCAGACTTGCTACCACAACTTCTACAGACTAAGATAGTTGGAGGGGTCCTCAGATGTATTTTGGCAGCAAATAAAAAAAAAAGAAGACATCTCTCTGATAGCAGGAAAACAGCTCTTGGTAAGAAATCTCAAATTGCTGCCTTAAAGGACTCCCATGTATTTTAGATATTTAATTTACCCTTCTGCAAGTCACTCACTGAACCATGCATAGAACCTACCTTGTAAACTCCTCATGAAGGTTGTTCGGTTCTGATGAATAGTATTTAATTCGAAAATGCAACGTGTACGGAGGTCCAACTGTATATGCAGAGATTTTAAAAGGAGAAAAAAAACCAAAAGTTTATGCTACTGAATTTTTGCTAAAGCTGAACAACCACCACCACCCCACAACCAAAGAAACCCAAAATGAAGTATGCTTTTAAATTCTTCAGAGAAGAGAACCAAGTATTTCAAGTGATAAAATTTTAAAAGATATGCAATACTAATTACATACTAATTCTAAGAGAAATGTAGACGCCTACCACGCCTTAGGATACCTTAATCACTACTTAATCAAAAAAACAATACATTTGGGAAACACATTTTTGTTCACTATTAAATTTCAGATACACTTTTGCTGCTGAGGGGTGGGGGAAATTGGAGGGAATGAGAGGGAGAGAGCCATGCTTCTTGCTACAAGGTACAAAAACCAAATCCAATAGATCAGCTTTCATTAAATAGATACATTGAATGAGAAAAAGAGCAATGAGGTGAAAAGTGCTGAAGTTGACTCTGAAACACACAACCCTAAGAAACACAGAAAGCTAGGAAATTACATGAAAGAAGATGCAAGCATCATCGTTTTCTAGTACCAGAAGGTGCACACTAGGTCTGATTTTCTATGTAGATGTAAACAACAAAATGTTATCCTACTAATATGAGATGGCCAATGCATTCTTATCTGCCTAAGCCCCATCTGGTAGGACAACAGTCTGCAAGTATCTTAAGTGGTGGAAAGATGACTATTTTTCACCTACTTTTCTAGTAGCACTACATCAACATGGTAAAAACTCTGATTATTAAAGCTTTGATTTTGTCTCCAAGGATAGCTCCAAGAAGACATAGATTTCAGTACGCTAGGCTGACAATTGGGCACCACTGGTAGATCAGCATCAGCAAGATAATGACTCTTAACTGCCCATGTCAGGGGGCAAAAAAGAGCACTAAAGTAACATCTGCCCTGAAAGTGGAACTCTTCCCAAAGCACCCACTTAATGAACGGTAATGAAATGTATTCTGTTGTGAGACAGATCTATACAACACTCATCAAGCTGCTTTACTCTTCAGGGGTTCCTCAGACCAGGGTTTAGACAATCTGCTTTTAATATAGGCACTTTCAAGATTATGCACAGACAAAACTGTACCTTAACTGCTTGAAGGTGTTAGAGAATTGTAGATTCTCCACGTATAAAGAAAGATCAGGAGAAGTACAAAGAAATTACAGGAAGTGCACCTGGAATTCACTTTGCCACTTAAGGTAAAGCTGCTTGCAATGCTATGAACAGGCAAGAGAAGGCCAACCAACAAAAAATTATCTATAGCATGTATATATTCTAGCAGACTGACACCCACAGCGTGGAGTGAAAGCAAACTGTCTTTTAAAGGCCTTTGAAGAAAAGCTTCATGAGTTTCAGAAATGTTCTGCTTATTTTGATGCTTGTTAGAGAGAAAGGTAAAGCATCACTGAAGCAATCAAGACTGTTTACCCATTTACAAAATCCCACAACTTCCTTGAAAAACACCGTATTTTAATTTTATGGAAGCAGCATTATCAGTTGGCCTATTGCTGTTGTCTACAAGACTGTATTAACAAAACAGGTTAGTACTGTCCTGCACTGCGTCCAAGCCTGTAATCAAATTGTTAGAGCTGCAGGAGCAACTTGCCCACCTTAGCAAATATTCACAGAAAACTCAATGAGGAAACCTAAACTCAACCCCTATACTCTAAACTCTCTTTGAAAAAACGCCATGTATTTCTGCTGGTTTTAATAAAACGTACAAAAAAGATAGTGAGATCTACAAAAAAATATCTTCCATTTACTCCTTGGAAGGAAAAAAAAAATAAAATCACAAAGCCTGTTATGGATCACAAGCAGTGACAGAAACTGAGATCTGTGTCCAGGCAACCTGCTGTCACAGATCAGACTGAAATTACCTGGCAACCTACTCTGCCTCAAACAAACAGGACATATTTAATGAGGGTACAGAAGACTGATCTATTCCTTATACGTGAACTTGCATTTTGACATCTATGATATAGCCAGCCAATTAACCATTAAATTAAATCTATTTTCTAAGAAATATTCAATCTGTTAAAGGTCATATTTACACAATCGTGTTAAAATACTCCAAACTCTTAAGGAAATAACAAAATAGGCAGAGACATGGTACTTACTTTTTATCTGTTTCTTAATGAATTTAGAATGGTCCAACCAATGCTAAAAAAAGAAAAAAAAAATCTAGATTTAAAAGCAGCTCCATGTCAAGATTTTGTTATCACATTAAACTCATTAAAGCAAAATATCTCTTAAAATGTAAAATTGCCATGTTTATTTGCTCAGCTTTTCACATTTGCCACAGTGTTTATCTGCACATTTACCAGTCATCAAGCATCTTTTTCCAAGAAAGAAAGCCTGCTATAGGCATCAGTACTGCCAGGAAAGTTTCACTCTTTCGAAGGAGAAAATTTAAAATCCCAAATCTCAAGACAGCAGTATGTAAGGAAAACACACTTTCACCCTCAGGTTCGAATATCACATGGAGTGTCCCCAGGCCAAAATCCTGGCTTCCATTCTTCTTTCAACTCCTTTATCTCATGAAAACCCTCCAGATCCTGTACTGTTTGGCCTTCCATGGCTCCATGGTCAAGTTTTTCAAGACAAGGATGAACTCCCAACTTAAACTCACTAAAGCAGTTCAGAAAAAATGATGTACGTATCATTCAAATGCTCTTTAACAGCGGCGACTAAGATGACAAAAAAGTATGCTTCACAGAAAAGTTCATGCACTCTTATCAGTGTAAGCTGCACCTCCAACAAGTATCCATAAAGTATAAATTTAGTTTAAATCTTTATCTGTGGCTGCACAAAGTCCTAAAGCTACAGTTTGAGCTGAAGCAACACCACCTACATTCTCCTACCATAAGGTAATAAAAGAGTATCCAGACTTACGTGAAGTGCTCTTTTTCTATATGCATATATTTATTTCAAAATAATAAAGAAGGCACCAAGGAACAAAATTTTGGCAGAAAAAAACAAAACAAAACAAAACCACCTTCCTTTCTCCCTATAAAAGCACTTCCAGGAAAAGGAGAAACTCTGAGCGACTACTTACTGTTTCATTATATCACTTTCCTACAGCTAAATACCTACCTATTTACTAGAAAATCTAAATAAAAAATAAGGAGAGCTAGAGGAAAGAAGAGGACAGACTCTTTAGCAAGGTCTGTGGTGATAGAACAAGAGGAGACAGCTTCAAGCTCAGAGGATACACTTAGGTTGGATATAAGGAAAAAGTCTTTCACAGTGAGGGTGGTGGTTGCCCAGAGATGTGGTTGATGCCTCATCCCTGCAGACTTTACAGGTGAGGCTGGATCAAGTCCTGGGCAACCTCATCTAGCTGTGATGTCCCTGTTCACTGCAGGATCAGATGACCTTTAAAGGTCCCTTCCATCTCTAAGGATTTTATGATTCTGTGATGACAGTGTTGGTATGTATTTATTATGTCCTAAAGCCAAGGCAATAATTCATTTAGCAAAGTGGATGAGTACAGCTCAAAAGTTTGCCAGTTTAAGACCTCTAAGCTAAATAAATGTTAAGGAAAAAAAAAAAGGGGGAGAAATAGAAATGGAACAATTATTCTAAAGATGCTTTTATTTACATGAGACCTGCTAAACCTCCATAAGTGAAGCTGTCAGAGAATTTTGTCCTTGCAATCTGAGAAATGACTAGATATTCCTTAGGGTTGCAAGGAATTTATTTTGTCTCTACTTTACTCTGTCATGAAGAATTACACCAGAAACTACAGCAGTTCACATAAGTTTCATGAAATTTCAAATTTCTGATAAGGAAAGTGATCAATGTTAAAAAAAAAAAGTAAAATTTCACAGGAAACTGTACAAGTCTTTCATACCTCCAGGGCAGAGTAAATTCTTATGTTTCAAATACCTAACTGCAAAATTGTCTCACCTCACTATTCATTTTGACTACAGATGAATTAGTCACAAAGCTAGTATAACCTGATTCCATTAGAAGAAAGCCTTACCTTCAACATTAACAAAACAAATATGAAAAAAAATATCTATCCTACAGACAAAAATCCTCTGATACCTCTTCATAATTTCCAATGAAATATCAGTTAATATGACAGTCCCAATCTTGGAATGTGGTGCTCTAAGTATACTAAAACTCAAATAACAACAAGTTCTGAATCATAAATGTAAATACTTTAAAGGCTGAAAAATAACTAACAGGACTTTAGAAATTACTCATTCACACCATTAAACAAATGTAACCTAGCTAGGAGGCTATTCTCCATACCCAAGCAGCCAGATAGCTTATCCAGGAGATAAAACACAACACCCATTAAGCTGATCTCTTCCAAAGAAAGACTTATCCCCATCCCAAATGGCACACCATAGCTGTGAAAGGGCCACCACACAGTTCTCAAAGTAAAAATATAGTGGTTGGACATGGACTGGTAGTACTTGTGGCTTAGAGTTCCTAGACCCAGCAGCACTCATGCAGATTTGTGAACCAATGCCAAATTAAGTCAAATATTTTGTGCTACTTCTGTCAAAACCAAATTCCAACGTTTCAGATACAGAGAATTTCTTCACACTGGAAATCATGCCAGCTTTCCAAGTGTCCTCTATGCTCAAGTAGTGTCATCCTATTACTCCCTTTCACGTAAACTGCCTAGATAGTTGTGAACAGAACACAGTATGTGTGTTGAGAAAAGTATTGTCCTGTGAGGCTACACAGAGTACAGCTGAGAGGCCTGAAGTCTTGAATACCTTCAAAGGTGTAACAAATGTTCTCAAAAATACTTCTTAATGAACCAGAAGAAAACCTCCAAACACTGAGTTGAAGATTGCGTGGCATTCTAGCTACAGCCAAAAAGGTTTGGACTTGACTACCTGCTGCTTGTTGACTTCTGAACCTGGAAGTGAAAAGGGTGAAGTCAAGTAGGAAATGAATGAAAATGGAGGGGACTTCTATTCTCTCAGAACCTAATGACTATGCCTCTGCCTAAGCAACTGCTCTGGCTAAAAAACTGCACATTATTTCAGGATGCAAATCCAAAGAGTCATAACTTTGGATGTCACAGTGTACATTTCAACAGTACAATGCTACATTCCCACATCCAGACTAAATTCAAAAGCATCAGTGCAGAACAGGGAGAAGGAAAAAGTTTAATAGGTTTAAGACTGTTTTACAACAGAAAGATAGCTTCTAAGCTACTTTACCCACAGTAAAGGAAAAAAGCCACAAAAACAAAAGCCTGTGAGGCTGCAGGTAAACAAGATTCTGCGACTCTTCATTTTGGTGGGTAAAATAGAACTTCAATTGCTGGAACAGCCTCCTTTTATTCGTGGTTAATCTCAGTATAATTCTTTTTTTTTTTTTTCCTATTGTTAAATGAATAATGTTTCCTGTTGCATTAATTAACGTAAAACAGCAGTCACTGATTGGGATTAACAAGTTGAATTTTTAAGAAAGGATTCGTAATTTCTGTCAGGCAGCCACAAAAAGCTAAATACCATCCAATTCCACATTAAAACAAAACAAAAATTTTAAAAAGCCTGTTCTTTAAAAAAAAACAAAACCCTATCTATGAAAAAAGTGGAAGCACGGACTTGGCACATTATCCTGTTAATCACACACTTCATCTAACTGAAGATGGAAAAATACCTTAACACTTCTTCAGTGGTAGCAATCAATATTTTTCTCAAAAACTAGTTGTCATACAGGAAGGCAAAGATGTATTTGTGTCAAGATATAGCAGATAATCCGTAGTTACTGAAGCAGTCTGCATGAGGACCACAATGACTGCTAAAAGATGACTAAAAGGGGGGGTACCACAAGTTGACACAAACCCATCACACACCTGTGCTTTCCAAATTCCACTGGCTCCCCACTTGCTTCATAAAAGAATGAAAAGTCCTGGTCTTGATCTATACAGCCCTCAAAGGTGACCTGTAAAGGAAAAAAATTGGGTTTGACCCTTTTTTTTTTTGGCTAGCTTGCTTTGCTAGTTTGAAATGCATGAAGAACATCTTAAATAGACTGCTTTTCCTTATTTATATGCTTAACTTTCAGAAGCAGAAAGCTCATTCTCATTGGAAGTCTTATTTGCTGTGTAAAAGTATTGCTTAAATGCTTTCTCAAGCAGTTATTGAAGGAATAGCAGGGGAGAAGAATCCAAAACAGTGTTAAATGCTCAAATTCAGAAAAGAAGGCATTCTACAGAAAAGCTGGCAACTTTTAAATCAGAATTTAATTATCCCTCCCATATCTTTCTGCTATCTGATTTCTTAGGCCCTAAAATCTATTTGTCTGCCATTAGCCACGTGGCTTTCTAAAGCAGAGCACGTAAAATCCTAACATACAGGAGGAAGGAATCATCCTTCTCCCTAAAACAACAAAAAAAAGGGGAAAAAAAAAAGTCCAATGAAAACCCTACCCAATTAACCACAGTTTTAGACTTTGTCTATACATCATTAGCATAAAAAGTAACAAAAGAGAATTAACTTTTTTCTCTTTTCTTCTGAAGGTCAACTTTTAAATACTAGCAGTGACAGAAACGGACCAGAACTGAAGTTGCGCAGAGAACCAGGGACTACTCAAGCATGTAGTCAGAAACATTGCCTGCTCCCAAGAGTTTCAAGCTCTTCCTTTTCAATGAAAACATTGTTCCTTATAAATCTATATTAACTTCTCTGACCCATCCTAGAAAGTAACGCTGCAATTGAAAACGTAGACACAGAACAAAACAGTTTTCAAATAAATTGCTGAAGTACAACTTTCTGAACTTTCTGAATACAAGATTTAATGAACAGTACGGTCAACAAAGCTTAATATATTTACTAGTAATCTTAGTGATGTGGCTGAATGCACTTCAGTAAGGCTACTGATGAATCCAAATCACAGAGCTGCTATGCAGGTAGTGTACAATTTTACAGTTGGGGACCTCAAGTGGCTAAAGAAATTATTTTAATGAGGATACTATGAGATCAAAACAGATAATTACAGCAGCAAGTGCCTACAGTGGAGAAGGCTGTGTGTGCATGCAACATTGGGATTGACAGAGGAGCAGCTCTGCAGAAAATGCCCTGTGGCTGTGAGGGCAAAATCAACACATGGCGGTGCATGATAGAGGAGAAGCCCCTGAAAGAGAAGCCTAGCCTGGGCAGTGTTGGAGCCACTGAGTAAGCCCA